TTTGGCTCCTTTTTAGATGATCTGTTTTATGGTATTTGTGTTTTTATTGGTCAGGTTTTATTTTATGAACTTGTACAGCACTTTACAGACTTTGGGTCTGTAAAGTGCTCTATAAGTAAAGGTTGACTGATTGACAAACTTTATCAAATGTAATCAAGAGTCAATGCAAACCAGTATGTACAGTGCAGACATTTGGATTGCTGCATAGTTTCCTATTGAAGGATGCACTTAATTTATTGAACAGAGTTGTTTTGTGGATCATCTGCTATTATTGGTTCATTGCATGTCTCACCTGTCCAAGTTAGCTGTAGCTTCCTAATATTTGACCATACTTAAGACTTCCCACTGTTTTTAGAGACTTGAGCCCTAGTTCCGCTTATCCTCTCAAAAAGGATAAGCGGAACTTATTTGAGACATGACTTGAACTTGGTAAAAGTCACTTGTAGACTTTGGAAAAACGAAAATTAGCAGTGCATTGACAGTTTTCTGACCGATCGTGATCACAACCTTTGAAAAGTCTGCCCTGCTGATTCTGATAGATTTTTTTGTCTGAAATGTTGCTAAAAATAGTAAGAAAAATTGCCAAGTTGGTAACAGTAGGGTGACTGTAAATGTGCAGACATGACTTGGTGGGTCGGTCTATTGGTCAAACCTCTCTTAAAGCAGAGCAGAAGATGACAGTGGTTGATTTTAGACCTTTGCAGAGGCAGATAAGATTTGTGGGTAAGATCAGCTTCACACGCAAGTATCGGCCAATCACAGAGTTCCTAAAACTAAGGAAATCAATGCTGACTATGTGTTCACCCCTATTGGAAATCAGTTTCCACATTCATCCCTAAATATATATACATTTTTAAACTCTGCTAAGTCGTGGTAAAGGTAACATACTCTGTGCTGTGCTGTAGAATATTGAATTGCACAACCTTTATCCCAATACACATGCTCTATTCAGAGTGTAGTGATTCAAAAGCATCACACATACTTCCAAGATGCAAAGACTATATTCCACCAAATTCTCACCATTCAGGCCCATGTAACAGATGCAAACCAAAACAGGAAACAGTATGACATCATCATAAGCTCAGGCTTTCCAGCAACAAACAGTTCAAGCTCAATAGACATTAAAATGTAGCTTTTCTGTTAGATACACTCCCAGTATGTTTGGTGTCAATCAAAAGACGAGTGTCTAGAAAAGGACCTGGTAAGAACAGTTAGGTAAGGTGGAGAATCTGATACTCTGGGCCTGTTTGTCTTGCCAGAAAAGTTAAAAACTATCATCACTGAGTCTTTCAGCAGGAAAATGGTCCAAAACACAGGAATAGTTCACCAGAAGAAAACCAAAATATGCCTTCTCACTCCTCTGATCTAAACCCTACAGAAGACTTTTGGAGTATACTAATTAGCAGCATGCTTTAGAGAGGACCTAGAACTCTGGACGATTGGCAAATGAGACATTTTGGAAACAATAGCAACAGGGTGCCTAAAAGTTTTTTTGAAGTGAAATTCTACTCATCTGATAAAAGATTCATTTAATTTAAAGTTTTCTTTTAACTTTATCAGAGCTGCCAATAGGTATGGACACCACATAATGTTCATTCAGTTCAGCTCCAGTGTCTTGGTAACAATCAAGTTGCTCAGGTATTCTTTGGTGTATTTTTTATGTCTTTGCTGATTATTTGTTTTATTGGTTTTTATTGGAGGGAAATAGTCCTCCATCTAACTTGGAATGCAATTATCAAGAGCCAAGGCAACGGGGAATCATTTCATAAATGATAAAAGTCCCTATTACACAGGGACTTGTGCTGTCTACTGTACTATGGGCCACCATGGAAAGACAAAACTAATTTAAATGTAAATTAGCAACAGCAAAGAGTGAAACCTGCTTTATTATGCTTATATGTGACACTGCTCTCATAAAAATGAAACATTTATTTATTTACACATTTAAAACAGTTGGCCAATGAGAGTTTGCCCATAATACAAGAACTAATATGTTTCCTTAAGAACGGTGCTGCTAGAGAAGTTGATGGGCTCTTAAGGGGGCTTTGAATAGACCCGAGTGGCTGAGCATAAGAAGGGAAAGTAATTAAATTTCAAGTAGGAGAAACGGAGCGTGACAATGCAGAGAGGGAAGAATAAAGATGTCGGTAAGGCTGGAATTATAGGAGAAACACCTCGGTAAAGGGACAGTGTTCATTATAACTTTTCGCACCACAAGCTTACGCAATTTTGGGGAGACTGTTAAGTTTTATTTGTTTGTTTAAGCAAAGAGGATGCAAGACTTGTGTTTCTTGTTGTTCCCAATTTTAAGAGTTAAACAAAATTCTTATTAGTTTATTAAATGACATGACATATTCCTGACTCAATTATTCAAGCATCATATGAACTAAGATTGTTCATTTACTGAGTGTTGTACTCACACCCAGTGAAGGTGTCCAGACACATTTCAAGCATGAGAAAAAATGTTTTTACCTCCACAGGACTTTGTGATAGATCAACACAAATGATTGTGTAATGAATAATTGTAAAATGGTAGTAAATTCCACTTTCTTCAAATAATCTGAAACATGTGACTTGCATTTGGTGTGTTTGTGTGTGTGTGTGTGTGTGTGTGTGTGTGTGTGTGTGTGTGTGTGTGCGTGTGCGTGTGTGCGCGTAATTAAACTATGTCACACTTATTGACTTAAGTTACTGAAAATCAAATATTTTTAAAATATCCTATTAAGGGTGGGACTCTTGAATTAGTCTTTATGAATTACATTGCTTTTAATGAGTTAAAAATTGTAAGGCATGAATCACTTTTTTCTTTAAACATACAAATGTTCTGGGTGGAACCCTTCCATTTGCATGTTTCTGGCACATCCACAAATATTACACACAAGCAACATCAAACAACAGTCCCACCGCTAATTCTAATTCATTGAGACGACTTTCTAACCCACTCAAAGTTGTGTTGCCAAGAGCTGCATCCCTGACCTGTGTTCCTTTGTTTTACATTTACTTTTGTGCCTTTTAATAGAAAAAAATAGATAAAAAATTACATTAAAGTTGGAACAACATGTGAAGAAAAGAATACTTCTGTAAGGCTCTGAAAACATATTTAGGTCATCTCGGTTCCTATGAAATAGCACAATGCTATGCCATTGAGCAAAGCTAGCTATAATAATGCCTTACAGTTAGCATATCAGATGTAAAATGAAAGACTATACGTTACAGAGATTACACACCCATTATAAAGAGAAGGTATCCAGTAGCTTCCTCCAGCACATTAATCATCACTACCTCACTAGAGGTTGCCATAGTAACAATTGATTAACAGTGGGCAAAGATTACTACTAGACTGCATTTAGCTTAATTTAAATAGAAAATTGACACTACTTTCACCAGTGCCAAGACCGTTCTATTATTTTGTCTATTGTATTTCTGAGTCCAGCTTAACCTTTTTAATTATTCTGTATATAATTCAAGTGTTGCAAATACACCAGCGTATCACACCAACAAGTCCTTTGAGTCAGCACTCTGATTAGCTCTAAACAGATAAGTCACGCCTGTTAAGGTTTAAACATATGTTGGACGTAGGAAGGAGAGTCATTAAAAAGGATAAATATTGATTTTTCTTCTTCCTATTCTTCCATCCGTTGCTTTAGCAACATCTGAAAATTGATCATGTCTAAGAGTGTGTGTGTGTGTGTGTGTGTGTGCGTGTGTGTGTGTGTGTGTGTGTGTGTGTGTGCGTGTGTGTGTGTGTGCGTGGTGTTAGAATGGACCACCAGGGAGGCTTTCTGCACAATTGAGCTGTAGAAGTTCTAATAAATCATTCAATAACTTTGATCTGTTACTAATGCTAAAAACAATAATTTGATGCAAAATTTTGAGTTACTGAAGATATTTTCCTAATCCAAACACTTCTATAGGAATCAACAAGGTTTTGGGTATAACTAACGCCCAACAGGACAATACAACAATTCAAATTGTCACTCTGGTTGGAAAACAGCATGACGCTTCCACCAACATGTTTGACAGGTGGATTTTCCAGAAGGCATTTAGATGGTCTACAGGTTTTATTTATGATCAAAAAAGGTGTTTTGGAGCCAGAGCTACTTTTTTCCCCAGTATCCTTTAAGTCCATGTTGACGTTCACCGTCACTGGCAATGCTAGGATTTTGTTTTTAAGCTTCAGATTGCATCCTTTTCTACAAATGATAAAGTGTTCATTATTGCATTTTAAGCAATACAATGTTTATCTGCTTACTTATTAATGAATTTAACTGTTTATTTGCATATTTCAATTCCATTCCAATATTACATACAAAAGACTTGACTAAATTAAAAATCTGAAGAATGTGCTATTTTTTTTTTTATCTGATTACTCTATTTTTGGAATCAATTATTCTGATAATTAATCTATAGCTTCAGGCCTAATCCATAGTTTAATCAGGTAAGAACCGACATTTTTAAAGCATATTCATCTACAATTTAACAGATCAATCTGAGCAGCGTCACAGCTCAATAGCTGCTCTGCCTTTTAAACCCGTCCTTGCCTGAGCTCAGGTTTCACACGTTTGCTCAAAATCAGTCAGCCAGTCCCATGTGGTCCTATATCTGCTGCTCTGCCGGGGTGTAGAGCAAAACAATCTCTTCCAAGGACCTCTGAAATTGAAGTGGGGCATTCCCGTCACCTGAGGCTGTGTGGAACGGCTGTGTGTACATTTCTTCTCTTCTCTGTTGTGTCTGCTCTGTTGTTACAGTATTTATGTCTGCAGTCCCAATCCTCGTTCAGACAAGAGAACTAGCACCCTGAGGCAGATGGCTGTAAGTGGTCATGTCTGAGAAACTGCAGAGCAAGTGTGTGTATAAAGTTTACAGAACAGAGAGATAAAATCTAATTTGCCATGTTTGGAAGCAGAAAATATGCGAGGCAACAAACTGAAGGAATAACAAATCTGCCCTATGTCTTTATATAAAAATATCTTGTATGTGTTGCTTTTACTTGTTTGCAGCCAGGTCGAAGAGCATGGTGATGGGAGAGGTGTCGCGAGGCTCGTGCAGGCCAGGCTCCCCCAGCCTCCAGGAGGGGGCGCTGAAGGCCGGATGGCTGAAGAAGCAACGCAGCATCATGAAGAACTGGCAGCTACGCTGGTTTGTGCTGCGCTCAGATCAGCTCTACTTCTACAAAGATGAAGAAGAAACCAAACCACAGGTAATGTTTCAGACATGTCAGGGGCTTAGGACAATAAACTCACAACCAGTATACACTTAGTATATTACACAAACATGCTCATGGATTAACTTGGAAAAACAAAAGGTTGTTTGAAAGTATCCAGATGCTGGTTAAAGATGAAGTATTTTGTTTCACAAAAGCATTCCACGTTACACTTTTGGAGGGTTCTCTATATACATGACGATTACCAAACATTTCTAAGGTTACAGTTTTAAGAACAGTCAAAATTCTGTCATACCGTTCCAACACTTCAAAGTATTTTGAATGAGATGCCAGAGAAAGTACCAAAGTAACAGGAGGAAAAATTACCACCACCACTAATA